TCTCAGGTATCCACTATGTGTGAGGCATCAAACTGAAGGATATCAGAAAAACAGATATCCAAATCCACAGAGAAATTAGCAATCAGGCAGGAAAGCATGAATGGCAGAATGATGGTGGGATCAGATATCCAATTAATATCCCAGAAAGGTGGCCCACGAGCCTTGTTGTGAAGAAAAGCCCATGAGAGAGGGGACAGCTGCACAGGGCAAATGGATCACCATAGGTCAACACAGCCGCTGAAAAGAACAGTGCCAGGGCCAGCTCACTGAGAAACTCTAACCACTTCGATGAAGAGACAAAGAGATGGTTCTGGACAAAAATGAGGCCAGGAAGTCAGCCAAGTTAGAGGATCAACCAGCAAGCAGGAGCAAGACGACCCCATCAGAGGGACACACGACACAAGAACAGTAGCTTTGTGTGTGCATCCACTGAGCTGTCTCATCAATTCTCAAATCCCCAGAAGACGATGTAAAGAACAATGAAGCCAGTACCTGTGAACGTGCCATTTAGGCCTTACCATCCTTAATATCCCACCCCTCTACCCCACTCTCTGTCCAGACTCCTATGTCCTCAACTCCAAACATGTACTCTTTCCTGTGTGGAATGTACTTTGATATCTTCTATTCTATTTAATCCTTTGCACTTTTTAAAAAACACTCATGGTGACCCCACTTATGAGGGTTAATTTTATGTGTCAACTTCACTGGACCCCAAGATACCTAGAAAATGTGGTTAAATGTTACTATTTCTGTGTGTGTAAGGGTGTTTCTAGAAGACATTAGCATTTGAATTGGTGGCCTTCCCAGCATGGGTGGGCTGCATCTAAGCCAGTGCAAGTTGAGTAGCACAAAGACGTGGAGGAAGGTTAAATTTGGTCTGTCTTACTACTCAAGCTGGAACAATGGTCTTCTGCTACTCCCAACAACCTTGCTTATCAAAGCCTTCAGGCCTAGAATCCATACCATCAACTGTCTGGCTCTCAGGTGTTTGAACTACACAGTTGGCTTTGCAGGGTCTCTAGCTTGCAGATGGTAGATCATGGGATTTCTCTGCCTCCACAATCATACGAGCCAATACATTATAATCTAACAAATTTCTTGATGTATTCTATTTGTTCTGTTTTGTTTTGTTTTTTGTTTGTGTCTTGTTTTGTTTTGAAGAACCCTGAGTAATACACCACTGAATCCATTTCACAGTCAACAAAGACATGTATGCCTACTATACAATTCCTGGGTTACGGCAATCTGTGTTTTCCCCTTGTTACAGTGTGTGCAGTTATTCTCCAAAGGGATTTTTACACTTTTCCCTTGATAAGAAAGGGATGAAAGGGCTCCCTGCACTGTGCATTTGCCAATCTTTACTTTATCAGACTTTCTAATTTCCAATACACGGGTACGGAATCGTGTCTCATTATCTGGTTCCCTGATTAAGAGTGAGGCAGAGTTCATTTGTCAATTAGTCATTTTGGTTTCTTCTTAATGCCCATTTTTCAGCTTTGTTGTTTTTATCTTACTGACTTGAAAGAGTTCTTTACACAAAGAGAATACTAATTGCTCATAGCAAATCCACTGTGAGTCTTTATTCCCATCCCTAATTCTTTTAAAGACATTGTTGATACTGATGTTTAATTCATTGGTTTTTTATGGTATTTGCATGCATGTGTGCATGTGTGACCTTTCCCTACCTTGAAATCATAAGGAAGATACCTTCTGTGTATTTTAACGTTTTTCTCTTTGCATTTAGATCTTTAACTACAGGCATTTGCTTGAGTGTATGATAATGGACAAGGACATCATTTCATCATTTCCTGTCTGACTAATCGGCTATCCTGCATCACTTCCCACTTGATCAGTGGCACTCTCCACCCGCTCCCGGGCTCCCCTACATGTGCAATCTTGTTCTTAGGCTCACTGCTATGTGCCACCTGTACCTTTCTCTCCTCCTACCCAGATATCACACTCTCTAGTTCATCAGCAAGCACCATCAGAACCTCACTGTCCTGGTCTGTTGTGCTTCCTCAGTGTTCTGGCTTTGTGTTTCTCTTCGCCTGATAGCCAGGAACTCCTGTGCCTTTCTCTGAATCTGACATTTTTGGCTGAATTCGTACCATATTCGTATGTGTCTCCAGCAAGGAACCTGCAGATATGACATCAGCCAGCCATTCTCATAAATGCAACAACCTCTCACTTCGTACTTTCTATAATTGTCATAATTTAAATACAATTTATCAATCTTTTCAACATTCCATCAGGATCATTAAATGTGTATATTTCAACCTTCATGCATTTTACAGGACAAGAGCCTACAGGACTGACAAAATAATGGGGCCTAAAATCTAAATATTCAAGAAAAAGCTAGAAAAGAACCCCCACACTTTTCCTGTAAGCAGACGCATATTCATAAAGCTATTCTATGAGGAGACATCCGACTCACTACGGGCATTAGTATTCTGAAGTCACAGAATGGTTCCATTTGTAGTAGAAAAATAAATAAACCCAGGCCTTTTCTTCTCTTTGCAGTTCTGCTCACAGCGATTCATTCTGGCTAACTGACATTTAAAAATATCCATTTTGCTACCACTTTTCTTTCTAAGAAGGAATATGCTTTTCAGCTGGGAAGCTGTAGAGAATCGTGATGAGCACATTCACTTAAACGACGGGCCTATTACACTGTGGATGGGTGGGAGCAATCGCAGAGACAGCACAGTGCCTGCTCCACTGCAACTGATTTGGATCCTCTATTAGTATTTCAGGATACATAAAGACTCCAGCAGGTCCTTTCTGGGCGGAGATGAAAAAAATACTTTATACCTTACACCTTAGGGGTATAAATTGAATCAACCCATGGTTCCATCAGAACCCAATAACACCCCGAGTTCATTAAGGAAAACTGCAAGAAGCCATTTCACAGTGGACAGTTCCCAGAGGGTAGATGGATTGGGGTGGCTGTTCGACCCCAGGTGCCCAGAGGATCAGCATTTCACAGTAATTTGTGAGATTGCTTTCCCACAAGCAACATCTCCCTTCACAAACTGTCCTGACTGCCAGTTATAAACAAAATAACTTGTCCTTCTGCAGAAGCCTCCAAAATCCTTTAACGTTTTCCGTGCCAGGAGTGGTAGATACATGTGATGAACTGAAGGATGAAGCATGTTCACAACTTAGAAAATTAAATGGAACAGAAAAGGCCATGTTGTGAGGACAAATATAAACCCACAAACTTTAAAAGCAGGTAACTGAGAAAATACCTAGGAAACTCTCAGCCAAACCCCTTAGAAATCATGCAGCTCTCTGAAGTTTAACCCTGCTTCCTTGGAAAGGAGCTGCGGTCTCTCCCTCTCTCAAATGCCTTGTGAATGTGTCCTCTCCAAAAGCCACCACAGGAGCCGCGAAGATAGCGCTCGGTGGCACAGTGCCTGCCTGGCAAGTGCAAGGTCCTGCGTTGAATTCCCAGTACCAAAAAGAAACAAAAAACCAAAACAAAACAAAAGCCACCAAAAAACCCACGCAGGACACCTGTGATGAGAACATTCCAGTTCCATACCAGGGAATTCCTGCTTAAGCACTGCATGGGGATTATTAGAGTTCACCCAGACCAAACTAGATTGTGGATTAGAAAGTGAAATAAATGAAGCTGCTATGTTTTACAAAAACATCCAAGTTGTTTCAAATAGCAAGACCTGTAGCCTTCTACTACCTTGGAAGCAAAATGGTGGTTCTGGATCAGGTCTGACGCTCCAGGATCCCTGCTTGTGCCCTGGTCAGTCTGCATCTTGCAGCCTCAGAACCGGCACAGAGCTTCCCCAATGGGACACCCCAAGTTGTCCTCTCCTTTGGGAGTCCCAAAGCTACCACTTCCCTATATATGGCACTCAGAAAAGAAGACTCACCCAAGGTTACTGGATGTTCCTTCTCTTAAAATCCGTAAGAACCCATGGAACCTATCAGAAGCTCAGACCAGCTCTGGGCAGCAGGGCACACAGTCCCCACCTGGCTCATCCTTCTTACCTCTAACAACCTCCCCTTTGCTGCCCACTCTGCAAACACACCCTAACCCCTACACCAGCTTCCTCCTCAGCCCACCTGAGCCTATTCACCTTCAATCCAGAACCCCTTCCCCCTCCCGGGGCTCCCCTTGTTGAGAACCTAGCTGACAGTTGAGCTCCGCTCCTACAGATTCCACAGGGCAAGAACAAACCAAGTGCCAATCACAGGTGTGACCAGAACTACACTACAGCTTTGCAAAAGCAACCGGAGCTGCCCTTCATCCCCAGCAAGCTGAGGAGGCCACCTTTGGACCCAAGATGGAATTCTTCTGCCAAGCTCCTGCGTATTTCACAATAGTTACCTTCTCAAAGCAGACTACGAGTTGACTATCCCTTACCCAAAATGCTTGGGACCAGAAATGCCTGGGGCTTTGGAGGTTTTAAGATTTGGAAATATTTTCATTATACTTTTCATGTTGATGTTCCAAATGCTTCAGATTTTGGAGCATCTTGGCTTTTAAATTTTCGTATTAGGGATGCTCAACATGTATTAGTTGCCTGTGTTGGACAGTGAAAGATTTTCAGTCGTGACTGTTGTAGGAATCTACTGTCAAAGTAAATGGGAATCTAGGTTGGGGGTCACAAATAAATAATTGAGTGAGATGAGGACAACGGTTTACAGAAACACTAGCATGGCAGGGAGGGAAGAGGTGGGGTAAGCACGTTGTTATTGCTGTCATGGGCAGGCAGAGAGGCATCAGCCCCAGGCAGGGCACATGCCCAGCAATGACCCCATGTTCATTCACTCCTTGGCTGTGACTCAAACCCCAGCTTTAATCTCACTGTACTCAGGCAAGCACATACTGGCTTATACACATAAGGGTTCCAGGAAGCAAAAAGCCACAGCCCTTGCCTGTCCCACCTACAGTGCAGCATCCCTCCAGTAAAGCAATCCCACTCCCTGCATATCAGAGCCAAAAATGACTCCTTGCAAGGATACCCCACATTTCTTACCAAAAATGAGTGGTTTGGTAATGTCCCGAAAAACCTCCTGATGATCAAATCTTTCTGGAATAAAACAGCAGGGAACAGAAAATTACTCAGGTTTCAAAAATGACACAGGTGTTTATACAGAGCTCCTTCAAGTATAAAAATCTAAATGCATGAGAGGTTTTGAATCACCTATAAAAGTGAAGAAATTATAACTCTAATGAGATGATCAGAAATTACCTTAAACAAATAAAGTGTTTCTTTAGTCATTTCATCATGTAATTATTGCCTTTAAAACAACATGTTGGGCAAATAAAGCAATAGCTTGGGTACCATTCTGGAAGGAGAGATTCCCTGCATATTAATGAAGTTCCTCAAAGCCCTCATGAATATGCATTTTCCCGCAACAAAGCTTGACCCCAGCAGTTTGCAGAACCAGTGTTTTGTGACACTTTCAGATGGAAACTGGCGTGTATGTGGGGGTTGGAGGGGAATGAAGAGCGATGAAAGGAAGTTCTCTCACTTCCTCTGTCTAGGGTCTCTGTCTACCTTTCCCCATGGACAAAATGGTTTCCTAAAGAGATCTGGGAAGAGGTGAGTAGATCCCACACTTCCCCCTGACAGAAAGCTTTTAAATGAAAGCTGAAGAGGACAGCCAACAGACTCAAAGGATTCGAGGCCAGATCCTTGGGTGAGATCAAGAATTCACAGTGGCAGCAACACTACAGAAAACAAAGAAGCAGGAAGCCTGTGGTGGACCTAAAGGGGCAGTATTGTGCCTACACACCGCATCTCAATTCTTCTCCATCCAATTTGGCTGAAGACAAAGTTATAAAAGGTTTTGGGCTTTCTTTGGTCCTTTCAAAACTATAGCAATGGCAGCCACCTCCATGGCGCCCCCTTGGCGGGAAAGCTGAGACCTCCGCGGATAGCTGTGCTGATTGGACAGCAGGTCATGTTCAGTCTGATCCCGGAGTGTAACATCACAGGCGACAGCATCACCCACCGAGGAAGAGAAACAGGGTCTTGCTATCGTCCCAGCAGACAATGGCTTGTACTTTGTCACAGGTCTAATCTGGACTTGGCATTATTGCTTTTCTAACAATGCCAGGTGGTGGCTTTCAGTTCCCTGGGTAGACGTTCTTAGCAGTGGGTTTTAATTAGGGAACTTCCTTTACCCCAACTGGCCCAGTGCAGATGTTTGTGATCCAGACATAATGGAAAATGATGATACACCTTAGAAGGCTGAGGATGTTACAATTTTGACCCAATTCCCTGTAGTGAGAACCACAGAACTGTGAATCCGCTCACCCTACACAGGAGTAACTGGACATCTGCATGGCTGTTCGCTTCTTTCCAAGGGTGTGGTGAGCATACTGGCTTTCAGCGCCGGTTCTTTGAGCAACACACACTCTAGCCCTTTGAATGGAGGCCTCATTACACCCAAGTGAGCACCACCCAGAAGGCATCTCAACCACACACACGCTTCCTAAGTACAGTCACTGTGGACCACTTGCTTCCCAAGTGAGCACAGACAAAGCACTTCACAGCACTGGCCTCCATTTCACATGCACAAAATGTGGAAAACAAGAACTACTTCAAAGGCAGTTGCTGAAAGGAAACAAAACCCCCAGAATACACCTCATTCTCATCAAATAGAATTCTCTTCCTTTCTCCCAAAGCTCACCATCTTGGGACCTCCAAAACTACGGAATGTGTGGGCTAGTGGTAGAACTAAATGTAGCACCTGATGGCAGGACTCTTTCCTGGAAGGCAGAGGAAAGAGCTCCGGTTCTATATTCCATTACAAGCGCTCAAACAGGATTTGTCCCTCCAAACTCGTGTCAGAGTTCACTCCCCCTGTGAGGTATCACAAAGGTGGAAACAATCTGGTTATGGTGCTCCGCAGTGGGGGCTGTGAGAGGTGATCTGTATTAGACAAGGCCATCAGGGGGTGCCCTCAAAACTGGCGGCTCTGTACTGGTGGTTTTGTAAGAAGAGGGAAAAAACCAACACACAAACAAGTGCTCTCCTTGGCTTGTCACACGATGCCCTGCACCATCTAGGACTCTGCCAGCAGAAAATCCACCACCAGATGCAGGCCCCTGATCCTGGGCCTCCAGAACCATAAGCTGAAAGAAATTTCCTTTCTTCATGAATATCCAGCTTCGGATATTTCATTATAACAATGGAAAAGGAACTAATACAGAGAGAAAGACAGGCCTGACACCCCCTGTCCTCTCCAGACACTGCCCATGCCAGCGTGGGCAGCTGTGACCAAGAAGGGTACGGGGAGGAGACCAGAGGGCTCAGTCTACCACCACAGGCTGGAATTTCCCCATAAGCCTGTAGGGCCCTCAGCATGGCTCAGTCCAGTGTGGGTCTCTGAAGATTCCTGTCTGCCCTGGCTCCAGGTTCCCCACTTGTATTTGGCCCAGAGGCACTTTAGGGAAGCCCAGAACCTGTTTGACCATGCACGGGGAGGTCTGCTCACTGCCTCCTTCCCTGGAGGGAGCTCCACTGCTCTCCCTCTGCATCTCCTGAGTCTCAGAGTCCCCAGGAAGGACACAGTCTCACTTGTCTGTACCCGAGCATCCCCTGCAGGCTCCACATGGGTTCCCAACAAAGGCACACAATCATAAAAACCACTTGGGAACAATGGCAGCACACTGCACCTTATATAAACACTTTTCCATATGAGGAACAGGCCCACATCTGAACTCAATTTAGAATCAGTTTTTAAGTGTCTATTTATAGGCATCACACAGCCAATCCTGGTGGACGGTGGAGAAGTCAGGGCTCTGGGCTCCTGTCCATTGCAATTCATTTGCATTCTTTTCATGTTCATCTTCTCTAATTTCCCAGCAGCATTTTAACTCAAATGCAAGGTCACCTACCACTTGGACCCAGCACCACTTAGCAGTTTCTCTAGAGAAAAACACTAATTTTCTTCCCCATGCAGCAGCGCCCTATCCCCACCCTCCCCAGGACCCTGTACTGTGATGGCTAAAGTGGAGCCGTGTTGTTTGGATGACCTGCGTCTCTGGATAGAAGGTCACTTTAAAGGCATGCTCCGTAAGGTCGTGAGACCTGGGAAGGTTCTGCAGGGGTCAGTCATCATCTCTCCATCTGGCTCTGAGTCACCACCCAGCCAGGCACATTGCAGCTCCATCCCAGTGACTGGAAAGAACACAAAAAATGCCTAATGGCTCACTTAGATTACTTGGGCTTTTCCTTGTAGCTGTGGGTGGTCCAGCCATTCCTACAACTTCCAAACATGTTTCTTCATTCCCTTTTCCCCTAGCCTTCTCCCAGAGAGACAGGAAGGGCTGGGCCATTCCTCAGTATCTCTTGGCCATTGTGATTACACAGAGAATGGTCAGAGCCTGCTCTTCTTTCTGAAATCCACAATTATTTTTGGAATTACTCCCTAATCCTTTGCAGTCTTCAGGCTGGAAATTGAGTCTTTGGGTCCCCACATGAGACCAAAACCCTCTGCCCTCCGAGCCATTTCTCCATTCATAAGTTTTGGTTTGGGTTTGGAGGCTGGGAGGACTTTGACCAGGGAGCCCAGCTTCCCAGAAAGACATGCAAACACCAGCCACTGGCTTCTTCTTGACACTGCTCAGGACTGCAAATTGCAGAGTGTGGGGGCTTTGTCTACAGCCCTGCGTCCACAGCAGAGTGCAGACACAGAGAGCACTTGCAATCAATCAACAGCCGCAGCTGCCTGGCTCCAAATACTGTGCAAGGTCTGGTTCTCACAGGAAGATTGTTGCTGAGGCTGCTGGCTTTCAGTTTCAAGACTGATTAATTTTCTCATAAGACACCACTTCAACTGCCATGGTTGGTTCTGTATTATTTGACATGCAAATTTCTGGCAATAAATTGGATCTGTGATCAAACACTGCCTTTGAAATGCCATGTTTCTGGCTACTCTGGAGGTAAACAGAAACGATAAATATGCTTCAGAGTGGATGGCTGCAGATTGGCTGACTGCCTTTGATTCCTGTAGAGGGGAGCGGGGTTTAGATCCAAAACTGTCTTCAGGACTCAACGTAGCCCAAGTAGCTGGGGAGGGGGCTGGAGCAAGGAAGCCACTTAGGCTGAAAGAATCTTATGGAATCAACCCCCAGGCAGGTCAGCTTATGTAAATACCCAGCAAAGCAAGGGTCACTGGCCCAGACGCACAAGCAGGTACAGGGGTGGACGGAATGGGTATAAGAACCAATCCCTTTACTCTTTTTTTAAAAAGTTAAGACAGCAGTTACAACTTCACAAACTCCCAGATATGGAAAGTACCCAGGGGAGGCAGCTATGCATGGGGCAGGGGGCCCACAGGCATAGTCATGCCCAGCACTGAGATAGGAAGTCTGGGTGGCATTGAGAATCCTGATCTTACCCAGGACCAGGGGACTCACCCTCAGAGTGGCAGGGAGTTCAGCTGGGCTGCCTCTAATCTCATCTCTTCTTCCCACGGACCCCAGAGCTGAGGCTTAGTTCCCTTGAGTTTAATAGATAATAACCCTGCCCTTTTTAAGGGGCTGGTCGCTGGGCACACAGGCTTGCAAATATCCAGGGCACTGTGCCTGGGATGTAGAACAGGTGGAATCTGATGTGGTATAACAACGCTTGAGACTTACTTCCTAACAGGACATTCTGGCCACACTGGGAAAAGGTCCCGGGACGGGCACAGAAGGGGTCTGCGCAGAACAGCTTGGCTCGAATATGTATGAAAAGCCCAGCTGAATGCTGCAGCCTGCTCAGCCACGGCTCTTGCCAATACCAGCCCAGCAGCTGCAGCCAGCACCAAGCTCCAGATGCCCCTGGGCTTCAGCACCAAGGCATGGGGAAAAGCTTGAAACGGGGGCCCATGTTTGCGTGGCCTTCGTGGGGCAGTCTGCACTGGACTGCCTCCGGAGGGGAGCAGGTAGCTGGCAGAGGTCAGCATGGAGCGGGAGCTTTGCTGTAAGATCTCCTTGGACCTAGTGTTGCAGGTCAGCCCAGCTTCCCCTAGAGAGATGCAGAAAGAGGCCCCAGTGTCCCCACCGGTGTAACTACAACCACTGTTCACCTGC